GAGGGATCCTATCTTTTAGAGATGCTTTCAACATGTTGGGTGGGATGTGAAATGGGGGGTGTCTGACACCAGGTCAACATATAAGAAGGGGTGGTGGGCATGGGGGGATTGAGAGCTGCTGAACCTGGCCTCACGCCAAAGACGCCCAGGGAGCGCCTGCCTCAGCCCCGCCTGCCCCAGACACGTCAGGACACTCACACTGGCCCACAGGTGGCTTTAGACTCTTCCCCCTCCTTGTTTGTGGATGTTCGTGAGTTTCCATAATAAGATTTTTTTAAAAGTCTTCAGGCATCAACAACTTAAAATTCTTCCCATGTTTTCCTACTTAACTTGGAGTGAAACCCTAAATCCTAGTGGCCTAGACAAGGTCCTCCCTGACCCTGGCTCCCTCCTCTCCACCCTGCCCTCACCATATCTAGCTCAGACCCTCCAGCTTCCCTGTCCTTGGATGTCTCTAGGCTCCTTTCAAGTCCCCCTCCTCCCTCTCTTCTTCTGCCTTTCCCTCTCCCTCCTCCCCCACTTCTCTGCCCCCCTCCCCCTCCCCCTTCCCCCTCTCCCCTCCCTCCTGCCTGCTCTACTTCTGTTCTCACTTGACCTTCTCCCCCCTGGTCCTCCTGCCTCCCTCCTGTAAAGACCCTGTAATGACATTGGGCCCCCAGCTAAGCCYGTCAGCATGTCCATCTGGACGCTCCTCAGGGCCTTTGCACAGGCTGCCCCTTCTGCAGGAAACCCCCTCGCTTCCCCTAGCCATCTCACCACCTCCAAGACAACCGCACAGCCCCACACCCTGTCACAATCTTTGTCATCTTATCACCCAAGGGTTGTGAACTCGATGCCCACGGGGGTCAACACAGAGAACCGTGGGAAGCAGTGGGTCCTCTTCTTGTTTCTAACATGGACACAGGCAGCCTGAGTATTCAATGAACAGCTCGTCCCAGAGGACAGTGGTGGAAGCAGAGTGATGTGAGGCCCTCTCCCACCTTAGGAAGTGTGGGTCCCCGCCCCGGGACCCGTGGGTCCAGTGTCAAGACGCTTCTCCATCAAGAAGATGCTTTTACAACAAAGTTGAGTCCCGACAGACCCAGCGTCAGTCGAAAATCAACAAATCAGCCGACCTCACACCAAAGACACCCAGGGAGCCGCCTGCCTCAGCCCTGCCTGCCCCAGACCCACTCAGGACGGTCACACTGGCCCACAGGTGGCAAGATCATCTCCCACAAAGCTGATTTTCTAGTAAACTTCTGAATAACCCATGCAGTTTATTGAGTGCATGCATCAAAAAGGAAAAAAATAAGAGCCCCTTGTGCGTGACCTCTCTGTGCCTGGATTTCCCCAGCCGTGGACTAAGGATCACGACAGCCTCCCCGTCCCAACAGGGAGTGGGGGTCCCGTGGGTTCACGTGAACGTGCACAGGACCTGGCTGGGAGGGAGCACTCCAGAAACTCTGACYGTGATCACTGTTCCTCTAGATGAGCAGCAGGAGCGCAGTCAGCCCTCGTGTGGGAGACAGCTGCAGGCATGGTCCGTGCTGAGCTGCTGAGCCCATCCCTACCCAAAGGGAACCGCCACCACCCAACCCGCGCTGTGGTCACAGTCTCCACCTTCCCAGGAAGACCCAGGGGTCTGCATGCGCCCATGTATAAAATGTCCTAATGCTTAAACACGGGCCACAAATTCCCCCTGGAAAAAATGCACTTGGTGATCGAGGGCTCTGGAYGGGAGGACTCCGATGTCATGACTGAGAAGAATCAGAAGTGTGAACGTGCCCACAATCACAACCTTGTGAGTCAGCCTTCTGTTGCTATAACAAATACCTGAGATSATCARCTGAYAATGAGCAGAGACGTATTTTGGCTCACAGTTTGAGGTTTCCTCGGACATCACTGATGGGCCCTGCTGATCTGGGCCGGTCGTGGCACATCCTACCAGGAGTGTGCGACCGAGCAAAATCATTCGCCCTGTGGCTGGGAAAGGAAGGGGTCTGGTCCACTGTCTCCCCTGAGACGTGCCCCCATCACCTAAGAACCTCCCTCAAAAGGGTTCCACCATCTCCCAGTCGTGCCACAGCCTGGGGACCAAGACTGTACACACAGAACTTTGGGGACTTGTGTCCAAAACATAGCAGCAATCATGTTTACAGAAAGAACAGCTGCCAAGGACTGAAGAGCTCACGGCTGGCCAGGTTCTGCAAAATGCTCAAGTCACAAAAACCGGGAAAAGGTAGAGGCCGCGGTTCAACCTGCTGTACAGGTGAGGACAGTGGCACTCAGAGAAGSCAAGGATGGGTCCCAAGGTGGCCCCGCGGGGACTGCACTCAGGCCGTCTGCCCCAGCGTCAGAACCGAGCTGCTGCTCCGMGGTGGTACTTCTCAAGCGTCTGAACTCAGTGGCGTTCAGCAGGAGCCTGGTGTCAGAATATGAAATCAATAATTTGCTTTATTGTCATTATTTTTCTGTCTCCCGTCTCTGSGTCTGAGCAAGAGAAGAGAAGGGGGAGGATTTCCTGCCCGGGGTGGGGGAGGGTGAGGAGGGTGGACCGAGGTCGGGGCTGGAAGATGCCATGGTGGAGCCAAGCAGTGGGAGAGGAAATGCAACCGATAAAGTTCTCGGAACTGAAAAGTAGGTCAGTGGCCTGGGCCGGGGGCTTCCTGCCCCTGCTCCTCATCAGGAACCAAGTGGGGGTCCAGCCTCCAGGCTCTGCCCCTGCCAGGCTCCCTGTCTCCCCTCCTCCTCCTTGTCCCTCTCTCTGCTCCTCCCCTCCTACCTCTCCTCCTCACCCACCTCTTTTCCTCTCCTTCCTCCTCCTCAAGGCTGCAAAGCCCTCCCAGAATGACTTGTGGAGACCAAACTTAGCAAGAGGTTCCATCCCCAGGAGGAAGTWGGTGTCTGCTGGTGGCTTTTATGAATTCACTGTCCCCCACACCTTGGTCTCATCAAAGCCGCGGAAACAGAAAGACCATGATGAGAGGAAAGGAAACTCCGGCGSRGGCTAGGGCTGGGCCCTTGGGGCCCCCCACCCCCTGCCAGCCCACCAGGGCCAGGAGGTGGAGAGCCTCTCTGGACCCACCTCGTGCTGTGGGAGAGGGAGGTGGCCCTGCCTCTCTTGGGTCAGAGACTCTGCATCTAAAAGACGGGACAGGAGAGCTCCTGCCCAGGGCTTGGGTATTTCCATAAAGTCACAGCGCACACGAGGCACCCGGGCCGTGGAGAGTGCCCCCGACGCCATCCTTCCATCGCACGTCTGACTCTCCAACGGCACTCGCACACTTATTGCTGTCGGCACACCACTGTGCACACATGTCTTCCGTGCCGGATCTGATTCCATCTTGCAGTGAGCCTGGGAAGTGAGTATTTTCGCTTCCTTCCCCCATATTACAGATGAGGAAACTGAGGCACTGGAAAGTGGTGGGTCGCACTCAAGGTCACACAGCCAGGCAGTGGCACAGTGGACTTGGAGTCATCAGATGGCCATGCCCAGTGCCTTCTCGCCCGTACCATGTGACAGTGACATGAACCGTATCGACAATAACAATAATAAGCATCGATCCACCTTCGGGAGCCGAGCCTGCCTCCTCAGAKCCAGGAGCCAAGACGTCCCTCCTGCCTCGGGTGGTGCTCCTTGGTGGAGGGCGTGCATCTGAGCCCAGGCCCTCACTGCCCCCAGCCATCTCCTGCGCCCCTCTCACTCCCAGCCTCCAGCTGGCTTTGCCGGGGTCACTCTGCCTGGACAGTGTCACCTCCACTTCCTCAGGAGCTGGGTCGCCCTTCGTTCAGGTTCCTCACATACACAGTTACCCCCCTGGGTCATAGTGTCCATCCTCCTGCCTCTGGGCATCACGGCCTGCTGCCACTGCTGCCCTGTGCCCAGGACCTCCCCTTCCCCAGGGGGCCCTCTGGGCCTGTCACCTGCCCCCCTTCCATCCCCAGTCTTCCCCTAAGAACTAGACGGAACCAGGTGCAGTTCTGCCATTTATTTYGAGGACCATGGTCAAGGGGCGGAGGACTCCCTGCGAGGTCTCCTGCTAAGCCCAGGATGTGAACCTGGGCTGCGCAGGAACCTCAGGCTGTGTGTGTGTGGTGTGGGGTCTGTCACCKTGCGGAGCCAGGTCTCACCCCAATGTGGCGGGTGGGTGTCGCATGCCATGAACACTCACATGTGACTGTAATACCGGTGTGGGCGGCTGTGGGTGGCGCCTGCTGGCATCACATGTGTGTGTCACGCAGCATCACCACGGTGGCCACTGGTCTTGGTGGGATGTTGCAGTTGTGCGTGGATCGGGCGCTTGTGTGAGTCTGTAGTTGGGAGTGGCACCACGGAGGTGGCCAGCTGTGAGCAGGACTCCGCATGAGGCCAGAGCAGTGACTGCCCGGTCCTCCTTTCTTTTAATCAGCAAGCGTCCCTGAGTGCTGGCTGCGTGCTTGGTCCCCGTGACAGTGTCCTTGTCGGGGGACCAGCCAGCGCTGGTGCTACCTGGTAGCTGGAAACACCCTGTGGTGGGCCGGAAACCATGGTAACTGGCAACGCTGGAAATCCGTGGGCGAGCCCAGAGTGTGTGACCTGACTGTGACTGTGACTGTGACTTCGGGCGGAGCAGGGCTGAGTTCTCCACGTGGAGAGTCCTATGATCAATCCTCTGCCCACGCTCGACYGCAGGGAGGTCCCAAAGTACGCGTCCCCAGCCAATCCCGGGAGCCCCGAGCGCCACCTTCTCCCTGAWCCAAAGTATAAATACCCGCATCCCCTCTTCCTGAATATCAGGCAAATCCGTGCAGCCCGCAAGGGGCCTGGGACCCCGCGTCCACAGTCTGTCSGTCTGTGTCCCAGGCAGCTCCGCAGTCTGCGTGGGTCTTCCCGGGGCCTGTGGGTCTTCCGCCTCCCAGTGGCGTCCGCTGAAYCCCCACCTCCGGGGGTCCTCCGGGGTCTCTGCCTGCTGGGTTTCTGGTCCCCTGTGGCCCGAGTGGACGTCTTTGCGGGTGGGGTCCCCAGTCCGTCCACTCTTTCACACCATGAAGGCTCCGAAATASGAGCGGGTGCCATCACGGAGCCGGATCAGGCGCTCGTCGGGCACTCGGACCACCACCTCCTCCCCGGCGTCCAGGTGCACCACGCCACCCAGGAAGCTGCTGTCCCACCAGAGGCGGAAGCTGTTGGCCCGCCCACAGGGTGACCGCCTGCTGACCAGCAGCTCCAGCTCCTTGGGGTAGCGAGGGGTGCGTTTGTAGAGTCCGTGGGTGATGGGAAGGCCACCAGTGGGCCCCTGGGGACAGCCGATGCCACCCAGCTGCACTTTGGAGTAGACATAGTAGTAGCCAGCCTCGGTGGTCACCAGGGCCCCGTTGCTGTAGTTGAGGCCCCTCAGGAAGGCCAGGCCCAGCTGCGTCTCCCACAGCAGCGGGCCCCCACTGCCCGTCAAGCTGGCATTGGCCCCTGTGGAGAGCAGAGAAGGGGAGAGCTGGTCAGCACCTGTCCCACTCCTGCTGGGTGACCCTAGGCTGGTGGCCACCCCTCTCTGAGACTTTGCCTCGCTGCTGGACTCTTTGTATGGATTGATTCACTTTATTTCCTCTTTGCAGATGAGGGAGATGGAGGCTCAGGGAAGCAGAGGAAATCGCTCATTATGCCCTTCAGCTCATCTGCTTTAGCAGGTGGAGAAACGGAGGCCAGGGGCAAAGTAATGGGAACACCAAGAGGAAACTACCACACAGAGCCAAGATGACCTGGTGCAATGCCAGCACCTGTGGTGGCAGAGCCAGAGACCAAGGCAGGACATGCCTGGGCCCAGCAGCCTCAACTTCCTGAGCCTCAGTTTCCCCCTCTGTAAAATGGAGTGATTAATGGCATTTGCTTAGCACTTTACAGAATTCCCAAGCATGTGGCAGGGCGTGACCCAGAGGTAGCCCTCTAGAGGGTTTATTAAATCAGCAGAATTAGAAATGCACTTGTCCCGGTATCCGTGGTCTCAATTTCCATGTTTCAATTACTCTTAGTCAACTGCAGTCCCCAAATAGTAAATGGAAAATTCCAGAAACAACTTAGGTTTCAAGTGATTTTCATTATAACACAGTGTTGTACCTGCTCTATTTTGTTATTCGTTATGGTTAACCTCTCACTGTGCCTAATTTATAAATCCCATTCTGTCGTAGGTGTGCATCCACAGGAAAAAATGTGGTCTGTGGTCTGGCCTTGCGGCTCAGTGGTAGGGGCCCTGATTGATCCTCGGCACCACATACAATCAAACAAAGGTATYGTGTCCAACTACAACTAAAAAATAAATATTTGAAAAAAAAATTTTTTTAAATGTGGTATGTGTGGGGTGTGATGCTCTCTTGGTTTCAGGCGTCCCGTGGGGGTCTTGGGACACAGACCCATGGACAGCCCAGGACATTACATATCCCTGGAGCCCGGGGGGCGGGGGAGGACGGCAACTCTAGAATAAATATTGAATGAATGAATAAACGAGTGCTTGGACATGCAGGGCATTGGTCTCCCAGAACCCCTGGACCCCGCCGCATACCTGCACCTAGGTCCCCCTTACCTGTGAGGTGAGCTGCTGGGTTGGCCTGGGGGGATCTCTGCTCTGGAGAGAGAGGGACAGAGGTTAGAGGCAAAGACAGTGAGAGGTAAGGGTCAGCCTCCTAGGGGTCATCACAACCATCTCCCCGTGTCAACCCCAGCCCTTCCGGAGTGACCCAAACTTCTGCTTCTCAGGCCAGGGGGAGGGGCACCTGTGTGGCTGGGACCAGTTGTGCAAATCACATTGGGCAATGGGCTGGGGGCGGGGGCAGCATGGAACCATTCCCCCTCCTTCCTGGGAACCAGGACCTCACTCACCTTGCCTCAGCTTCTCCCTGGAGCCTGCGTCTGGGTCCTAAAATGCAGAAGGAACCCACAGTGAGTACCTGCCACACCCCAGTATCCCTCAGGCATACGGCAATGACACAGCCAGACTCTGACTATGGACACCACCCTTGGACACGTACTTAGGGCCACGTGGGTGCACGGGGACATGCACACACACACACACACCCCTCCCAGCAGCCTCTGAACCACTTGCTCTCCCTCTCTAAAAGGAGTTATGAGGAGTGCCCCCTTCGGATTTAATAAACTAAGTTGTGTAAAGCACATTACAGCGTCTGGCACTCAGTACCCCCYGTGGAGGGGTCTACTAGGTGAGCAATGCAGGTGAGCAAGGATGTCAATACATTCTTATCTGAAATGCTTGGGGCCAGAAATGTTCCAGATTTGTGGTGGGGGTTGGGAATATTTGCATAGATTTTTATCAGTTGAGCATCCCTCATCCAGAAATCCCAAACGGTCCAAAACCTGAAACTTTTAAGCATCACATTATACTCAAAGCTTTCTGGATTTTGGAGCATTCAGGATGTCAGATTTTGGGATTAAAAATACATGGACATCCAGATGGCTGGACACAAGGACACCAGCCAGGATGCCTGACAGGGCCCAGACCTCAACTTTTAAGGACAGGGAGAGGACACATGTGGACTGAGACACTTGGGCGCATGGGTGATGGGTCCAAATGAGTCACAGATGCAGAGACCATGACAAAGAGCACATCCGCACACGGGGTGTAGCAGGTGAGCGTGTGCACGTGTGGGTAGCTGTGCCCAGGACAGCAGCACTGTCCCCATGACGTGTGCCCATGGACATGCGGCCACCAGAGCTGAGGACCAGGAGACAGGACATGGACACAGAGGGACAAGACCACCTGGGACACTGTGGCACGAGCATGTGCCTGGGTGGCTCACAACATGAGGATGGCCGACTGGAATCCAACTGAGATCCAGGCCCCCAGCCCCAGATGGTCCAAGAGGACGGGGTGGGAATCTAAATGCAGGGCCGAGGGTCCAGCTAATGATAAAGCCATGCCCGAGAGTCCCTTCTCATCGGCTGTGCACTTGCTTGGGCCAGCCACTGCCGCGCACCCCACRTACCCCAAATCATGCCTCATCCCCTAGGAATCGGCCATTCTTACCCCCATTACAGAAGGGGAATCTGAGGCTYAGAGGGGTGCACGGACTCCCCTAGGCTGGCAGCGACTCGGGGTCACACACTTTCTGTCCCTCACACATGCGCAGACACACAGACACACCATGGCACAGGAGACYGCTCTGCCAGCCCCCGGCCCCACTCACCGGCAGGCGGGTGACCACTTCCCCCAGGCGCCAGTGAAGCTGCAGCAGGAACCAGCCCTGGACGGCCAGCGCGGCACCCAGCAGCAGCAGCAGGAGAGCCAGGCTGAGCCGCGCAGGGCTGCAGCACTGCCTCCTGTGGCTCGGCCCCAGCCTCCTGAATGGGATGTCTGTTTGTCCATCCACCACAAATACAGAGGGCCGCACGACTGTCTCCTCCATGTCCAATCAGACGAGGCCCAGGATGCCCGGGTAGGGCCCGCGCTGAGCGGCTTYGGCTCAGAGGAAACCACAATTGCCCAACAGCCTGGGCTCCGCAGGCTGCAGAAGGCGCCCCTGGGCTCTGGGGCTGCCTTTAATGCCAGGGTCAGCTCCTCCCCTTCCCCACGCACCTCCTCTTCTTCCTGTCCCCCAGGCCCTGCCCCCTGTCACTCTCACTGAGGCGGTCTCTCACACTTTCCAAAGACATCTGAAAATGTGACTCAGGTGCAGGTCGGGACGGGAGGCCCCAGCTCGCCTTCTCAGTGGCTTTGTTTCCTTGGTGGCCAAAGGTTTCCTGCGGAGCCCCTGTGTGGGCCACGCACTGCCCTGGGTTCAGGAGACAGCAGTGAATGAGAGGGGCAAGGTCCTGYTCCTGTGGACCTCCTACTGCCCCGGGTGAGACACAGCCTGACAAATCAAACACTGCGGAGGTGCAGAGGCCTAAAGAGCGCTGTGCTGTGTGCCTGTGTGTGCACTCGTGTGGATCCAGGTGTATGTGCGTGTGTGAGTGTGTGCGTGCATGTGTGTGCACATGTGTGGGCATATGAGCAAGTGCACACGTGGGGCGTTGTGCACACACATGTGTTCTGTACATGTGCTTTCAGGTCACATATATGTGTGTGCAGGTGCACCTCTGTGTGTGCATGGGTGTCGTGATGTGGTGTGTGCTTGTGCATACATGTGTGCACTCATGCATTCATAGGTCTACGTTTTTGCCTACAGGTACATGCGTGTGTGTGTGTGTGTGTGTGTGTGTGTGTGTGTGTGAGGGTGGATTTTGAAGGTGGAGTCCACAGTCAGGGTGTCCACCCAGTTCACCAAATCCAAGGCCTGGGAGCCCTGGTGGTCTTCTCCGCCTGTCTTGACCCCACCCTTCAGCACCCCTGTCACTTCAACCTGCAAACCTGATCGCAAGTCCTGCCACCTGTTTCCATTCCTGCTGCCACCCCCTAGCTAAGTGCTACAGACCATCTGTGTCCCTCCAAGTCACAGGGGCGGTCTTAGGCGGTGTGCGTTCAGGTGCGTGTGTAGGTCATGAAGGATGGTATTGGTGCCCCAGGAAGAAGAGACGGGAGATTGTCCTCCTCCATGTGAGGGTGCCACCTGTTCACCAGAAGCCATGCCGGCTGCCCCTGTCATCGAGGCTTTCCAGTCTCTGAGCCCAGAGAGCTGCGCTCCTTTGGGCCTCAGCATCTGGAGGCCCCAGCTGACGGAAGCCCAGGGCGCCTGGCCTCTTCCTGGGACTGTTGCAGGAGTTCCCGGCTGGATGTCCTGTAACACGTCTTTGCCCCTCAAAATTCACCCTCCACCCTCCAGGGAGGATGAGCTTGCTTGGGTATTGATTGTCTTATTGGGCAAAGTGACATGACATAAAGCCATTAAAAATGAACAACTCGGTCACAACTTGTCCATGACGTTCTGCTGCAGAGCGGTTTCCTCTGCCCCCAAAGGATGCCCCAGGGTCCTTAAGCGGCCGGCCCTACCTGCCTGTCCCTTCCCCAAGCCGGGGCAGGCACTGGGTTTGTCTGTGTGGACATTTCACAGAGATGGAAACAGCCGGCGRCCTCGTGTCAGGGTTAATTCATGGGCTGCTGTGGCCGAGGCTCCTCGGCAGCGCAGCATGGATCACGCCTCACGGCTCTGTCGMGTCTCACGACTGGACCAGTCAGGGTCACTCCAAGTGAATTTGGGGAGTAAATAAAGACACAGACACACAAAGCACCTTTACTTTGGGTCCAGTGCTCCTCAGCTGCAGCTCCCACCAGGGGGGGTGGGCAAGGCAGGCAAGAAAGAGAGTGGGGAGCACATGAACCCTTTTACTGGGGAGAAGCCATGAAATGAGGCCAGGGCTGGGATTACGGAGGAGTTGGTGAGTAGCTCACCCCCCAGGGTGACACCTACACCTGAAGCCACCCTTGTAATCTGAGCTGGGGTAACGCCCAAGGTATTATGGCCTGGCAATAATTGGCCAGTGCCCCAGGGCATCAGGACTTGAAGGTCTGCATCCAGGCGGCCTACACTGCTCTATTCCCTTTAGAACACGAGGCTGGACGGGGTTTTGTATGCCCCTTCTCTGGAGGATGCACATTTCCCCTTGGGGACTGTGAATACTGCTGCTGGGAGCATGCACCTCTGCTGCTCCGAGGGCCCGTTTTCAGTATGTTTACCAGAAGTGGAATTGTTGCTGGGAGATTTCATTCATTTATTTATTTTTTGGATTGAACCCAGGGCCTCSTGCATGCCAGACAAGTTACCTACCACTGAGCCACACCCAGCCCTTTGTATTCTATTTTGAGACAAGGTCTCACTAAGTTACCCAGGATGGCCTCAAACTTGAGGTCCTCCCCTGCCTAAAATGTTCCAGTGACTTCCCACTGAGCTGACAGGGTGGGCAAGTTACAGCCCATGGGTCAAAGCCAGCTGGTCCTGTTTCTGAGCAGCCCTGGACAGAGCTCCAGGTGGCTGCTATGATGGTGAGATTGGAGACCCTGCTGGGGTGGCGGCCTCTGCCTCTGTCCACCCCAGCCCACCTCCCTGGCTAGCTGATGGCTGCCACCAGGCCACCCTCCAAAACATGTTCATCACCACCTCCAAGT